AAATAGCCTCGTGCTTCCTGGTTTGGTTAATACCTCTGCTATGGTCTTTCCCTTCACAATGAAAGTTTTATAAGTCCTCGTATTGTAATAGAAGTTTTACAGTTGCAGATGACGACAGTAAGCAAAGTGTTCACATTTCCCCAGAAAATTGTGTTAAATTAGGCTCTGGGAAGAAGAGAAGAGCTGTGCTTATGCTCTCAATATTATATCTTCATCTTTGTGGTTGTTAACATAGTATTTGCTCAGTGATTTCAAGGAGTTAGTATTCTGAACTTTTCAAATGGATAAAAACCAGAAGGGAGGATGGAAGAAGAGGGGATGCTTCTGGTGAATGGAGACTGAGAGTGCACTGGCGTAGATCGAATGTCTGCATAAATAACAACAAAGAGCGAACTCGCGAACCATCCCATTTCTTCTGCTGATCTGTTCTTATTTTATTCTCCGTAGTCTATCACAGCAATTATATGTCACTGAGCACTTGGAAGTGAGATACAGGAAGCCTTTTTTAGTATTTTCCCTTAGAATTGAACTAGTACTGCTGACCTGCTTTATGTTTTGCAAAGGATTTGGATTACTGTAGCCAAATTTTGCACATTTGACCACAGGCTTGAGTCATCTGCATGCTTCCCCAGTGAATCGTTCCTTTCCAACTGGGCAGATGCTGTGCTGGGGGGAAGTAAAATGGTGAATTTTACTCCATGCCGAGCGCCCGTGCCGTCTGACCTGCTGAGCAGTTCAGGTTTACCGCTGGTGGTGCTTCACTTTGAGCACTACGTCATTAACTCAATGTAGGAGGTTCCAAGGAAGATTTAGGATTTATTAGTGTGTATTTCTCAGGTTTTCTGTATTTTAGCCTGCACTGGTTTTTGCAGCGATTAGAACCACAGCAGTGTAGGCCACTAAAACTTCCCCTTGGGACCATCCAGTTGCCCTGTATCCAAACTCTACATCACATATGCGAACTCTGGGCAGCCGTTCCAGGTTGCCAAGGAAGGACAGCTTTCAGCTTGTGACAGCTGACTGCTGTGCAGCAGACAAGCAGGGAGCTGGTTAAAAAACATAGTTTTTTCAGTCTTGTGAGACATTACCTCATCTTTGTATTTGCATTTATTCTGCATCAGAATAAACCCAAGTATTTTCAATATTTTCAATCAGAGTGAATTTCTTAAATGTATTTTTAAGTATTTTCTTGTTTGTTTTCTGTCTAGGCTTTGAAACATTTAAATTAATATTATTTTTTCTTTTTTTACAGAATACGGAAGTATAATATGATATGACTTGTCTTTAAAATAGATTATTTTAAAATAATTTAGTGCAGCTGCTTTCTAGCCATTGAGTCATCTCATTTTCCAGATTAGAATCTCTTTTTTTTTTAATGAAATGGTTTGACACTTGGAACAAGAAATGAAGATAAATACTTAGCATATCAACTAGAAGAGCAGGTGGGTTTTTTCAGCATCCATCTTATTCTAGGAAAGTGCTGTATTTCTTCTGCAGACATGTTTCTGTGCATTTATGTATTACTCCATAGTTGGAAATTTCCACAGTTTCTTCATGAATATTTTCCAGTGTCTGATTCCCTGAAATTTCTCTTCCTTCAGAACTTTTAGTTTGAATCAATTAAGGAGAAGAATGGCAACTTGTGAGTGTCTTATAATAATAATCATAATGGGAGTGTCTGATTACAATTTGCTACGTGATACATATATACATGAAAGCCAACCTATAAGTGATATATTACAGTATCTTTTCTTTCTGTAGGAGAAATCCCCTGACTCAGAGACATACATACACAGAAACGCATACGGTGTAGCATGTGTCAGGTGTTCCCGTGAGGAAATACCAACAGCTTCAGTAAACAGAGATGATCCTGGATCTGAGAATTGTGGCTGAGCTGGACGGGGAGCCTGTGGCTCGGACGGGATGGATGTGTGCCGGGGTGCCCCAAGGATTCGGCTGGCATGAGCAGCTCCAGTTGTGGCTGAAGGTGCAGCTGCTTCCACCATACTGGGAGGGCCATAGTGGAGCAGACTGGGACAGAGTTCTCAGATGTTAATCTGCACTTGGGGTAGCACTAATATCTAAGAAACAACAGATATCTCACTTTGAAGGGAAAAGGAGTCTTTTTTTCTGAGCTGGAAGAGAATTTGCCTCTTTTTCCAGAGAGAGTGCTCTGGTTTTGGGGTTACTTCATCTGTTTCACCTGTGATTTTGCTGCCTAACGGTCAGCACTCAGCTATTACAGAAATCCGTAGAATCCCTCAATCATGACAATGTTTGTGTAGAGGAGTATTAATAGCCCTCATTTTACAAACGGCAAAACGAAGGCTCGGAGAACATCAGGTTGTCGTGGTCACGAGGAAGGCCCTCAGCAGACACCGCTGTGCTTACCAGTCCCTTTACTATTTCAGCTTACGGACTGATTGAAACTGGACCATACGCACAATTTTGTCCTGTGCATTCCTATTCTCTGTGTTGCATCAGTGTGCTGTTTGTGTATTAAAGGCAAATGTTACGTTTTGGGGACAAGGATTGCTTTCCCTGAATGTCTGCACATCACCTGGTTTAATATGGTTCATAGCTGTTGGAATAGAGAGTCTGTTGCAGTAACACAACTTGGCTATGCCACAAATCTCTCTTTACTGGAGTTTATATATCCCCAAAGAAGTTTTGGGGAATAGGGGTCTGATATGAGTGAGCAGTCTTTCCGAAAATTGACCCAAACTTCAGTCTCTCCCTCCAGTGTGGTTTTCTCCTTCCCCGCCTCTTTAAGGTCCCTTGTATTCATATTCTCTGGTATAGTCAACAGAAAAAGAAAGAGACTGTTTTGTTTTTAAATCAGTGACTTTCCTTCATTTTTTTTTCTCTCTTGAAAGCTTTTCTAGCTCTATTTGCCTTAAGGGGATAAGTTTTTTTAATGAAGAAAATTAACTCCCTTTGTAGCGATTTTTAGAACTGGTGAAGGTAGCAGAGTAGTTTGATTTATATGTAGATCAAGGCCAAGTGCATCTTCCACTTTTATCTATTAGCCTTCTGTGTAATGTGTTTGAAAAGAGGTACTGCTGATTTTGCATAGGCTGCTGCCTGCCATCCTGTGGACGTGGGTTTCGGTGGCCCAGCAGTAGGAAGTTCCTATTCTTTTTCCCAGACTCGTCATTTACTTGTTCTCCTCTGATGTTTTGTAGAGCTGCTGTTTCTCTAGCACCTGATTTGCAAACAGAGCACCCAGATTGCATTGCTTCGTTCTTACCTGACAAAATAAATACATTTTTCTTTCTGGAATTGGCTATGGCATTGACTGGGTCATGTCTCTTGATTTAAAGTCTTTGATCCTCACCCTAACTCTGATGGTGTTTTTACACAGGTTTCCTAGCATTGAGGTACCTTGGTGCAATAAGAGCTGTCACAGTGTTGTCCCGTGCCGTGCTGCATGGCATGGACCTCTCCTGACCTCAGGAAAAGGAGTGGGTGTAGAAATTGCTCCTCTCCATGTTTAGTTCTTCTGTTTTAATGACCGTTGTGCGAAGATCTCTCTCTTTCTGAACTTTCTGGCAAGAAATAAATATTTAAAACCAGGTTGTAATTCCTGGAGAAATGAGTAGGTTTTCAGTGAAATCACTTGCAAGCTGTTCAATTAGAATTCCTTGAAGCATTCTGCTTTTGTAATCTCTCGCTGCGCTGTCAGCCTGGGTGTAATTCAAGGCCCTTCTCTGTTTCGCTGCCTCATCTGGGGTCACAGCTCTGTTCTTCTGTGCCCAAAGGACAGGATTCACATGCTCCCACCTTGCTCTGGGCTCAGTGGCTCTTACCCTGGTATTACTAAAGACCCCCTTTTTAAACATTGTACATTTATTTTTTCCTCAAAACGGAACATTTTCCTCCTGTCATAAAGCAAGCAACTTAAAAATTTTCAAAGGCTCTTTTGGCAAAGCTGGGAATTAGATTCTTGCGGAGTCCTTCATAAAAAATTGAAGACTTCATGTATTAACATACATTGATTTATTCATAGTGTTTCATTACAAATAAGCGAGGATCCCATAATACCAGCAGAGGTTAGGAGAGCAGTGGAGCGCGTTACATTATATTGACAGCTCAGTTGAAATTGAGCTGCCTTTGGATTGAATTTGGGACGCAGGCAAGGAATTGGCTGGTAAATAAGTCAGGAGTTTTACTTGCAGGTGTCTGTATATCAACAGGGCTGCCACGGGTTTGCATAATGGAGCTCGAGCAGGATTTCAGAGGTGTGTTTTCTGCGTGGATTCCTCGCAGGGTGTATTCACACCAGCAGCAGGTCTGCTCAGGTGCGGCTCGCCGGGTCTGTAACCCTGCTGACTTCTTCTCTCGGGCGAAAGCCCGGCGTGGTACCATGTGTAAGCCTGCCCACTGAAGCTAAAATTGGGGGGGCAAATGAGCTCAGAACCTGGCTTACAAGACATGAAGAGAAGGGCTTTTGTCTAAAGAGTTGATGACATTTATTTCATTTAAGCATATCATTTCATTTCGGCGTGTTCCCTTTAGCACAAGAAAAAACTTCTAAAACCTTTGTCGTCAGTAAAAGGCGCCTGTTGTTTTCATCAGCCTTTTGAGAAGACGGTTTGCCAGAAGAAAACAAAAGACCTGATGGAAAATGTATCCATGTTTACACCAAAAGTTTTCATGTACTCGGGGGATTGTATGGGAAGTTCTCATGAAAACTCTGCCAGTCGTTCTGTGCGCTCTGGTTTGGCTGCAGAAGTTCTGAGGTTCAGGTCAAAAAGTGATTTTTTGCATCTTTTGTTCTAAATCAGCACATGTCAAGGTTTTAGGGGAGAGGAGAATAGTCTTGGAAAAATTGTCATGTTTGTTTGACAGCATCCAGATATGGAACTAGAGATACCGAAATAATATCTGTGCTTGTATTTTCCACGTCTAGCCTGAAGAGATGGCAAAATAGGGGAGCAGAGCAAGGCCAGGCGCAGAAGGCCCCTTATCACCTTACTTTCCTTGTTCTTCATTTGCAGATTACATACAAGGCCGTTGGGTCTCTGGATCCCAGTGCTGACCTGTCCAGCCAAAGAGGGAAAGTCTTCAAGCTAAGGAACGAAACACATCACCTCTTTGTAGGATTATACCCAGGGACTACGTATTCATTCACCATCAAAGCCAGCACAGTCAAGGGCTTTGGGCCACCCATCACAACACGGATTGCAACTAAGATTTCAGGTACTGCTTTGGAGAAGGAGAAAAAAGAACTTTGTAGGGCTTTGTTCTTTAGACCCACAGCTGATGTATACAAGAAAAAGGTATTCAGCTCTCTAGAAGTTGCACAGGGCAAAATTTTAAAACAGCCACAATCCAGTATCCATGTTTGTTCGGGTTACAAATGCAGCGGTTAATTTGTGGCTATCTTAAGTATCCATGAATATCTTTGTGGAGCATTTTAAATGAGAACCTTCATTAGTTCTGCAAATGAAGTATCGCTATAATAATTGTTAGTATTATCAGCGTGGCTGGGGAAGCTCCTTCAGTAATGTGGTTTTTATTTTCAGAATGCACCAAAATGGATGTAATGAAGTAATTGAATTAATAGTGCACGGCGACTAAAAAAAAAAGGAGGAAAGCTGTTTTTATGTTTGCTTTCTGAGTAAGGGCAGAGGGAAGGCTTGAGGTAGGCAGACAAGTGCATGAAAGGCACTAAAATCAGGAGACATGGCAAAGAGAAGGTGCTTCTGTCTTGAGGAAAAAAGAGAAACTCAGGCTAGGTATCAGGAAAAAAAGATGGATAAAGGGATGGTAGAGATAATATTGGGCAGATTTATATAAACTTTAATTTTAACATTTAGTTGATAGCACTGAAACAGGCTGTCTAACAGAGTTCCTTTTTTGGAATAGCTTCACTGTTTTTTCAGTAAAGCCAAAATAAACGTATGGGACGTTCAGGACACTTGTAAAGCTTGAAATGATGGCTGGGTACCACAGAAAAGAGTGCAAAACAGTGCATATTTTCTGATGCCCTATTTCAAAATCGGTTAATCAAAACAAGTTGTTAGCAGTAAGTGGCAGTGTAAATTTTAAGGAAGTAAAGTGTATCCGTTCTCTCCACTAACTGTCAGCAGGGTCTGAACCCTTCACATTTAGTGCAAAAGCCCATGTCTCAGCCCCTGGAAGTAAAGCCATTAACTGCCATAACAGCTCCACGGACTGTTGGGGTTTATGCAGGCCTGCTGCGAAGGGAAGGCACGGCATGCACTCTATTCACTTGTGACCAGAGAAATAAAATAGCACAGTAATGGTAGTGCTTTTTCCCTCTGACTCACTTTCCTTGAATTTTATTATTCAGTGAGTGCTCAGATTGTGTTTGAGGCCTGCATGTTTATTAACTGGATGCACAGTGAGCTTGATTTATGGTCGTCTTTTTTTTTTTTTCTGGTCTTCCAAACACCTGGCTCGCAATAGGTAGGCACAGACTCCATGCAGGCATTAGGGTTGTAGCTGACATTAGATTATCTCATTGCATGGTTAGTCCTATACATGTAATCTGGAAATTGCTGCTGACTTGCTCTAAGAGGCAGTCACAGAATCACAGAATGGTCAGGGTTGGAAGGGACCTCTGTGGGTCATCCAGTCCAACCCCCTGCCGAAGCAGGGTCACCCAGAGCAGGCTGCACAGGACCGCGTCCAGGCGGGGCTGGAATATCTCCAGAGAAGGAGACTCCACAGCCTCCCTGGGCAGCCTGGGCCAGGGTTCCATCACCCTCAGAGTGAAGAAGTTCTTCGTCCCAAGGTTAGTAGGGAGAAGAAGGATTTTTGCATTGACTGGAATGTCCTTGTAAGACTACATATATTTTGAAATGAAAAGGCATATATGCTGTAGCAATTTGTGAGTGTATATGTTTATACGGGTGGACACATTTGTTTATTTCTTAATCACAGTTAAATGGGAGAATTCCAGAGGGCTTCTCTTTAGGCGTGACCGGGATCTTGCAAAATAGGCATTAAATTGTTGAGCAGTGCTTGCTATTTCAGAGATCAGTGTCCATTGTATTTTTGTTGAGGTACTACACAACTGTTCCATGTTGAGTACACAAGAAAACTACTATATTGTATTTCAGACTCTTGTGACTAATATGGGTTCCAATTGCAGAATTATACTCCAAACCATTAGCTAGTCCTTCCGAGACCCGTGTTTGTTGCATTTACTTCTTAAATTTATGGAGCCTGAAAGTAAGAGCGTAAATCCTGTGTGGCAGGTGCAGTGTTTTACACAGAAGATAGCTGATGGGACTCATGCGGCCAGGAGGAGACAGCCGAGCTAGCTCACATAGCAGAGACAGATTAGCGGCACCAGTGTGGCACTGCAGCCAGGCTAGGAGAAGCTGCTTCAAAGCAGGATGATGGAGCCTGCAAAGGCAGAGCCCAGCCTGTTTCTGGTGTCCAGACTGGCCTTGCAACCTTTCTGCAGCACTACGTCGTGCTGTAGCACCATCCCCTTGGCCAGAGCACGTGCAGAGCCCTTCTTGCTGTGGCATCTCCAGCATGTACAGTCATCTCTGGCAAAGAAGATGGCTGGTGACGTGCATCTTCCTTAAATGACTTGCACTGCTCCCCCTTGATGCAAAGCCCCTTTTTCAGAGAAATCCTCGTTAAGGAATTGACATTCATTCTGAACTCGTCGCCAGCTTATTGACAGGAAAGCCAGTAGCTGAGCTGATAATAGCAACCACCCTTCTTGACAGTTTTCAGGCATTTAGATAAAAAACCTGATTGTAAACAGGATTACAGTGGAAATCACTGTAAGAGGATTAAATGTGGGATCCCCCGCCATGCAGCTTTTCCTTGTGAGTTACAGATGAACTACTTGTGTGAATTTTTCTGTTTGCTTTGTGCTTTAACAAAACTTGCATCTTTGGAATAAATTTGATGCTGGTCGGATCTCACGATCTCTTCAGTTCTTTGACAGTGAAAATTATCCCAAACAGATGGCTGCTATTGACGAAGGACAAAGTAACATAATAAGTAAAATATGTTTCTTAAGGAGAGCTACCTTACTTTCATGAAACGATCCTAATAGATGATAACAAAGCAGAAGGAGAAACTAGACTTTGGCTAAGAGTGAATATTCAGTGGTTTTCTCTGTTGCTTTGGGGGACACCTCAGCGAAGCGATGGGGATGCTGTGGCTGGGTCCTGCCTGATCACACCATTGGAAACTGTGCAGCTGCCTGTTCATTCAGCATCACTAAAGTACCTGGTTAAAATGTCACGGATTTGAGTGCTAAAATAACCTGGCAAATTTGTGTTCCTCTATTTTCATCTTTCATGCCCTCCAGCTACTCAAGGAGACACAGCTTAAGTCTGTGTGTTAAAAACTGTAAGATGTGGGAGGTCTAATCCAATGACCAGAAGAGTAAGCAAGAGTCAGGTTTTCTGGATGCTGTTCTTAGCTCTGCCACTGTGCGCTCATCCCAGGTGGTCATTATAACATCCATGCAGTTGTCTCACTTCATCTTTAAAATTGAAGGAATGATCCCATCTGAAAGGATTACTGAGTCTGAAAAAATCAAGACAGGATTTTCAAAGCCAGCTTGAAGATTTGGGTGTCCGATTCTTGTTTAATTTTAGGAGGAAAAGAGTGTACAAATATTTAAGCAGTTTTGACAATGTTGGTCATAACATTGGGAAGTATTTTGATGTTTCATTTGAGACACGTTAAACATCTCCAAGAAATGTTAATATTGCGTTGCCATCACTACCGAAGGCAGTAACGGGTGTCTAACTAATGTGTTGCTCTTTGTTCTGCTGCAGCGCCTTCGATGCCAGAGTATGACACGGACTCCCCCCTGAACGAGACTGACACTACCATCACCGTCATGCTGAAGCCCGCTCAGTCCCGTGGAGCGCCTGTCAGGTGGGTGCTTTGTCCTCTCTTTACAGTTCTCCCCTCTCCTGCCTCCAGGCTTCACTCACTCCTCTCTCGTTCCCGTCTGATAATGCAGCCGCTGAAAGCGAGCGCCGACTATAAGACCAGCTCTGCTGTTGGTTCTGTCTTTCACAGTCTCCTTTTATAAATGCCTCAACCTACTTGCCTCCCGCTGTTAACCTCCGGGAAGGATTACTGATAGTGTTGTGTGGGGTTATTGCCCTCTCAGCATCACTTCAGATGCCTTCGCAGCGCTGGAGGACGGCTGTACGTGCCGCTGGGTACTGTGGTGCTGTGAATTTAGCATTGCCGTGTAAAGGTGGAGGAGGCTTCAGGCCTCCGTCTCCTGCCCTCTTTTCCACGATGCACCAGGCCTTTTTTGTAGCTATCCTAAGGATGTCCGAACTGTCTTTAATGCTCGCGAATGCATTTGTTCAGATACTGGATCTGAGCACATTCCTCACGTCTGCGTGTTATCATCCAGCTCTTGCTCCTGGGCTGGTTGTGGAGTAGTGATGGAGTTCAGATGAACTCTGGTTTAGTGAGGCTTTGACAGTTGTAGGCAAGCACATTTTCCCCTGATAGAGTAGAGGATTTAGGAGCAGGGAGCTGCACAGGCACCCATGGCATAGAGCGAGGACCTGACCGCAAACTTTTCTGCCTGTCTCTGAGCTGGGTCCCATTCTTAATGCTAAGATGCCAAAACCACAGAATCGTAGAATCATTTAGGTTGGAAAAGACCTTTGAGATCATCGAGTCCAACCGTAAACCTCACACTACCGAGTCCCTCCCACTAAACCATGTCCCTGAGTGCTACTCGACTGCAGATCTGACTGTGGAAAGGCGACTTGGAGGCCTGTCATTGCTCTCTTCTGTCGAGGTGAGCTTGTACCTGGTGGGAGGCACCAGCCCAGAGGAGCAATCTTCCCTTCTGAGCCAGCGCTGCCTTTCCCATCACTGGCAGAAGCGCTGGCTGGTCGCTCGTCCGGCCACTCCCCTCAGCTGAGCATGAATTAGGATTGCTTACGATAAGAGCAGTGGATGCTGCTTTGCAGAGGTCTCCAGCAGCCATCACCTCCCTGTAGGCTCTGCAGGCTTTTACCTCGAGTTTTCACAAGATACTTTTGAAATTTTTTCTACGGGCAGTATTTTAGAAACCCACAGTCCCTTCTTTCAAGTGACATGGGTTTCTGCGCTTCACTGACAGGTTCTTCGTGCTTTTGAAGGATATCCCACAAAGTATTCAGGAGCAAATTGCTCAGACGTAAACTACTTCATTTATTGAAACATCCAGTATCGATTGGTGGTCCACCCTGTGTCGTAGCTTTCCCCCAAATTGCATTGATACTCTCAAGGAAAAAAAATCTGCTTTTTAAGACTTAACACCATAACTTCACGAGTTTTTCTGAGGAATGTATTTTAAAGTTTCCCTTTCAATCTCTGGTACTCCATATGAGCAAATTTAGGAGCCTATTTTCTGAGTCCTTTAGGGATGTTTTTCTGCTGGAAAAGAGCAGTAAAATCACACAGCTCTGTTTTATTTTATTTCTTTATATGGGGGAACATTCCTGTATCTCATTTTACCACCTGCTGTCTTAGGAGTGTTGCTATTTTGTCTTTTTATTGAAAAGTCTTGTGATTTTTCTGGAAGCCAATTTACTATACTTTAACTACATTCAGTGAATAATGTCTTTTCCAGCAAATGCATCTGTTATAAAAAATTTGGTGGAATTTTTTATAAATTTTCACTCTGGTGTCTTTAATTGCAGTATAGCCTATTATACACACATTTGCAGAGTGCAATATTTACATGCCACAGCTAAGTGATGAGATGACTTCCTGTACTGAACCCACTTCAATGACTTACAGATGCGTGTATGAAAGCCAAAATGGACCAGAGGGGGTCTTGGGGAGAATTTTAGCTTTTTATTAACTATGACAGCCTCAGAATGTGTAAATACCTTTCTCTGTACAACCATGCAGACTGTTCTTAGCCTAGCCTCAACAAATCCAGTTATTTCAACCTTAGATTTCCTCAACCTCTTCCATTTACTTTCAGTCTGTTCTGCCCATTCTCGAATTTGTGTAAATTCTCTCGAAATACTGTATCCAAAAGCAGGTAGCACTCCCTGGGAGGCCTCAACAGCACCCAGCAGATTAGAAGAATAACATGCTGTGAACTGCTTGTGATGCTCTTAACACATAGGAATGAGGTGTTTCTTCCCCCTCAGTGTTTTTTTCATATTCAAGCAGAGACCGAAGATATCCTCTTTGTTGTTCTCTGGTTAGTTTTTCTACCTTTCGGTTGTGGGGGTTTTACTTGTCCTTCACAAGTATAGTATTTTCCATTAATCTTTATTAAATGTGATAAAATTGATTTTCAAAACACTGTAAAATTCTGATACAAATTTAAATGAACTTAGAGCCGCTCTTAGTCTGATGCCATTCTCTCTTCAGTTCCCAAGGCATTAAGGAGAACACAGATTCGAGACATATGCCTGAGAAACGCGGCAGCGAGGTGGTGCGGAGGGCACAGGTGGGATCCGGCATGGTGCAGCGTGCTGGTGGGATGCCCCTTCTCCTGGCCGTCTCATAGGCATTACCATGCTTTCCTAGGTCCCTTCCTTTTTGCACGCTGACCTTTCGTATCCCAGCCTGCCTGAGGAGGTTCTGAAAAGGTATTTCAAAGTAGTCTGAAACAGATTTTCCTCACACCTTCTGATGAAGGTTCTGATGTTGAAATCTTTCACTATGCAGGAGTAGGTTGACCCCTCATCTCTCCAACCCGACAGTTCTGCAGGTGGCCAGCGTTGCTCTGCGGTGCCCTAGGCTTTTATTGTAGTCCTTCCAAAGCGTGGAGCTGAAAAAAAACTGGCTATGCTGTAATTATTCTTAATATTTCCTCTTACACACTGGGGACAGTGAGTTGGAGTATGTGTGGGGGTGTCATTGTAAACTAGTATCTATATGTAAGATCGTTATGTGACTTTGTCTTGTGTTGTTTTGTTCTGCTCTAGGCTGAGCAGCAGACGGGTGGAGTACGGTCTGCAAGATCATTTTTAGAGTGATATTGTAGAATATTTCAAATAAGATTCATTGTATTTACATTCATTTGAAATGCAGGTACACCAAATCCAAAGTCACTTTCAACATTAAGAAACTTCTGATGTTCCCCAGTGTTCGTGATAAATAACTGAAATGAGGTTGTTTATAAAACTAATGATCATGAACTTGGCATTGTTAATGATCTATAGATAACAATGAAGACACTTTCATATGAACTAATAGAAATAATATAAACTTAGATATTCTTTCATCTGTTTTGTTGTATTGCCAAAGGAAAGATGAAGCATCAGCAGGCGTAAATGTTCTCCCTTGTGGCGTAGGCATTTCATTCTTGCCTTTATTTTCCATGGTAAAACCTGCAGAGCTTGACTCCATGTTGCCCTTTAAAAATAACTTTTAGGTGTTCTTATATCAATCTAAAGCCCGTGAATGGTGCTATGATTGATTTGCTGAAGACTGACATTCAGCTATAACAGATTCAGAAGCGGAAAAAAGAATGCAAGTGTTCCCCGTCTTTACTCCGCAACTGTTCCCTGCAAATCTCCAGTGTGATTCTGAGGATAATTCAGCCTTTGAATCTGTTGTTGTCAGGAGGGCTGAGTCAGTCCTTCATAGATTATTCACATATGACATCTTTAGACCTCTATTTGAGAATTTATATCCCGTTCACTGCTTGAAAATACCACTGTGAGGGATTTTATCTACAGGACGTGTCCACTGGGCTGATTTTTGTGTGTTGGATATTTGAAAGTCCGTCCGGTTTATTAACATGAGGTTAGTTCTATAAATCTACCTATACTACTGTTACGGAGAAAATCGAATTTCCAGAGCGTGTATGAGTTTTGAGAATTTCAGAGTTTAAATGAACGCTTCCCTTAGGTGTGATTACCTTGTCGATATGCTGCTCTGTGTATTGGAGCTGTACGACACTGCAGAAGGACATTAGAGAAGAGTCTGCAAGAATTTTTGGGGGGATTTCAGACTAAGGAGAACTTTGTTGTTGGAAAAAGATGGATTTAATCTCCCCATCTTCCTGCAGCTCTCTGAGGTGTATCGGTAAATAATGTGTGATGTTATTTTGTGTGTCTGCCAGCACGCAGGCGCAGGATGGTCTTTAGGCACCTGACCCCTGTACTGTGCTAAAGAACAGTGGGTTTAGAGCAAAGCTATTCAATCTTTGCACATGTCATTGTGCGCATATATGTATATATTTGTGAGGGAGGATATAGATTTTATATATATATGCAATGTAAGTAGCGTGTGTAAGTGATCCTGTAGAAATACATTCAGGTAAGAGTTATTTATTGTGTATGTGTGCAATGGTTAGATACGTGTAATCGCTTTGGGGATGAGGAAGGATAGGTTAGTTCTTTAACGTGCATCTTAAAGGAAATAAGTAAATACAAATAGGAGAAAGGGAGTTTAAATATTTTAAATATATTTAGAAGCACTGAGCAAAGATGAAATAAGTTTTCATGTCAATAGCCAGCAGGAAAAATTAATTTATATGGAGCAAGCTCCATGTTATTCTTGAGTAGTACCATCTGATTCTTGGTCTCTCAAGCGTGAAATAAAGGAAGTGTTTTTGGTCTACAAGATGCTAAACAAATGGAGAGGAAACTGTTGTAGTGTTATTTAACAGGACACCTAAGCACAGTGGGTTTTTTCTGGTTTTATGCTCAAGCTATTCTCCAAGAAAACAATCCTGTGTGATGTATCTGGGTACTTATGTATTCCTACATACAGTAACAAATTAAAATTTCCCGTGGTGAAGGGGAGTGGTATTGCTTCCATTTCATGTTGGAGAACTGAGACTTTGAAAAGGTAAAACTTGCTTTCCATTTCAGTCTGCAACAAAGACACTGAGAATCTCTGGAGCCATAGGCTATAACTTCAATCTCCAGAAGAACTCCTGCTTTTCT